AGAGTTGTAAACTTGGTAATGCGCTAAGTGTGACCGGAAATAAGATTATTAGGCAGAATTTAAATGCCTGGCCCATTATTATCGCAAATAATTTACAAAGGGAAATGGGATTAGAAATACCCACCATAACTTAGGTTAGAAAGCAAGGATAACAGAGATTTCCCGAAATTTATAGTCCATTCAAAGAACGTATTTGGCTCTCTGTCTGGAGATAGCATGATTTAAGGGTCTACCGTATACAGAATAATACATTCTGATGCTGTCACCGGGGCAGCACACCATTAATTCCCTCCAGCCTTCCGAACACTGGTGGATATGTAGTCTGGTAAGGGAGGAGAGGTGGAGGCCAGCACTGAACTGAAGACCCTCTCACAGGGTCCAATACTGGTCTCCGCTGACAAAGCATGAACAAACTCACCGCGTGCTAATTACACCTCTTGCTAATCATATCCTTTTATTTGACTTGCAATGGATGTTTTGAATCAAATTATTTTTTTCTCTAGATGTGTGTTTAATGGATGTACGTCTGAATGTGTGTGTCATGTTTGGCGGTGCCTGTGGAGGCCAGAGATGTTGGAGTCCTAGAGCTGGAGTTTCAGGAGGCTGTGAGCCGCCTGCATTGGGGTCTGGAAGCCAAACTCAGATGCTTTGAAAGAACAGTGTGTGTCCCTCACTGCTGAGCCATCTCTTAGCCTCCAAATCAAATTCTTAGCTCCCAAGGGAAAGTCTTGTGGTTTGTCAACCTGGTTTATACTGAATACATGCCACGTTCTGGGCACGATGACAAATGCGGCCTGAGACATCACTGCCCCCTCTTAAGGAGCAGGTGGGTAAATGAAGGAGCTGGGGAAGCCATCAGAGAACTGGACAGAGCAGGGCACGGTAAGCACAGAGAGCCTGCAGGGCTGACTCACAAAGGAGTGCACACTGGGCTATGATGACTAAATGGGAAGGTGAAGGGTTAACAATGCGGGGGCTTTAGGTCTACAGACCTCTGCTCAAATCCTACTTCCGTCCTGTATCAGCTCCGAGACCCGGACTAGCCAGCTGCTTCAGGTAAAAATACTGGAGCCAGCATCGCCCCTCAGAGTATCACAAGAGTTGATGGATTAATCTGTGTGTTTATTCTAAGCTCATGGCTGACTTGGGGTGTGTATGTGTGCACAGGAACTAGAAGCCATTACTTAGGGAAGAGCCGGCAGTTTCCCGGCAATTGAAGGAAGAAATGGAACTTCGATGCTGAGGTCATGGAGGGTGTCTGTAGGCTCAGCTCTCTGACAAGATTTTCTGGCATGGCTGAGATTGATCTGTGTGGGTGGAGGAGACAGGACCAGGACTAGAATAGAGTGTAAACGGCGCGTCCTGAAGGGCTGCTGGACAAAGCTAGGCAGCATGGCTTCTGTTTTAAAAGCTTTGGGAAGCCCCTGGGCTGTGTCACATGGTGAGGGTCAGGATCTGTGGTAGGATCTACCAGCCCTGTGACAGCTGAAAAGGAAAACAAGCAGGGTTGGCTAGAGCAGTTTGAGGCTACGGCAGGAACAGGCTCAGGGAGGGAGGAGCTGCTCCCATCCAGGAGTTAATTCCCAGGGCTTGCACATTCTCCTTATGGACGTTTCTACATCTACCACTTCCCTTAGTGGGTTCTGAATATGAATATGAGACTAATCTTCTTCCCAAAGCATCTGTTTACTCAGTGCTTTTAGGGGTTACTAGAAATTTTCTTTTTACTGGATAACTGCAAAGTAATGCTTGCAAGGATATTAAATACTTGTATGTCTTACACTATAATCTTAACTTATCGGTAGATTAATGTGATATAGTCATCTCTCTCAAGCACTGTGTGCAAGACACTATACTATCTCTTCAGACTTTCTGTAGCCAGCTCGTTTTTACGATTTTTGTTTTGTTTAATTTTCTTGTGTCTCCATTACAGAAGGGAAGCCAGGCTCATGGTCCCAACATAGTTGGGAACTGGGTCCTTGCCATTTAGTCAACAAATCTTGAAAATAAAAAGTGGGTGTAGGCATGGGTGTGTCTCTTTGTCTTCTCGTCTGTGGTGGCTGATACTGGTGATTAATTTGACAAGATCTAGACTAACCTAGCAGATAGACCTCCTGGCATATCTGTGAGGGAGTTCTGAGATTGGTTTATCGTGATGACAAGACACACCCTGAATGTGGATGGCATCCTCCTATGGGTTGTTCCTCGAACTGGAAAAAGATGTGAGTGAACTAAACACCTGCATCCATCTCTACTTCAGTGGACACAACATGACCAGATGCCTCAGGCTCCTGTCTCCATGACTCCCTGCCAGCAAGGACTGTATCTTCAAACGGCGAGATGAGATAAACCCTTCTCTGCTTAGGATGCTGCCATTGGGTACCTTGACCACAGCAATAGGAAGTTTATAAGCACACGGATCTTTTCCCAGGAGTGCCCAAGCCTGGGAGATGCCACCTGACACTTTGCTGTCTGAGACAACCTTGGCAGGACCCTTCTTCAAAGTTTGCTCAGAGCATCTTGGGTAGATAGCTGCTGGACCTTTTCAGTGGCAGCTGAGGAGCTGGAGCCCAGAGCTGTAGGCAACACGTGGCGTGTTGACATCATCTGAATTTCCCTCTTCCTGTCATTCCTCGGACTGTCTCCATCCTACCGTACCGTGATGTCATGGGGAACTAACCGTGAATAAGAGAAACGACAGTTAACTTGCCTCCCATTTGTTTTCCATAATAAATGATGTATTTGCTTGGACGCTTGAAGCCATTAATGTTTCAGTTTGTCCATGCTTTTCCTTCCTGGCATGCTAATGGCAATGTTGCACAATTGTGTCAGCTTTGACAGTGGCGCTTTGCACGCCCTTTGCTAGACTGTCGGTGGGAGGAGCCAGGCTACTCTGCTACGCCCTTCTTCCTGCTCCTTTCACCTCGGTTGTTAAGCAGGGAAACAATGTCCACAAGTGATCGGGAACTGGATAAGGACCCAATCCTGCCTGCCTCATTCTTGCTGCGTACAAGGCGTCATTCCAAACACTCTGCATGCATTTGTTCACGTGACCCTCCCACAACACTCTGTAGCGGACTCATTATCAACGCACCCATGTCTACAGTCAGAGAAGAGTGAGACACGGTGCAATGAGGGGACTTGCTCAAGGTTGCTTTAGGCTCATCCATGCCGGGCTTGGTCCTTGCGATCTGGACCTGGTGTGGGATGCCTTTATGCCCAGGATTTTCCTGTGCACACCTTCTCTTCTCTTCTGTGACTGACTGAATCCTATTGTGATGGATCTCCATGTTAATAAGAAGAACGTGGCACAGCGGTAACAGACGTGCCGTGGCTTGAACGCATCTGCCAGAGCTAACCACAGAGTTTCATCATCGTGTTGGAGGGCCTGGGGAGGGCTAGCCAGGCACGAGGGTGCGTAGCTCTAATCCCAGTGCTCAGGAGGCTGAGGCATGAGTATGGCGAGTTTGGGACCAGTCTGGGATACTTAGGGAGACCTGTACCTTCTCCCAGAAAGCGAGAGGGAAGACCAGGGAGGATATTTAATGTCACAAGGGTTCCCTCTGTCCAGATTGGTGGACCCATGGGTGGTCTTGAGGGTGGCTTTGTCTCTCACCGACACCCCTCCTGCAATGCAGTTGTCTGCTTTGCATCATCATAACACACAGCCCCTGACTGGAAGGCATAAATGGGGAATGATTTATTTCAGCTCCTGCATTCAGAAGGTTCAGCCATCATGGCAAGGAGGACACGACAGAAAAGAACCGCTCAGACCCTGTGGTCGGGAAGACAGGGAGAAGGGACCACTAGGGCACTGGTGGCTCCCTTTCACCTACCTGCACTGCGGCCTGAGAGACTGCACTGCCCCCTTCAGTTAACCCTCCCGGGCAAACATCCTCAGGGTCACACTCAAAGATGCCCTCCTTCCCCTAGGTCAACTTGACAGAGCTTAACCTTCACATGGTGCTGTGCCCTTGGCCTTCATCCGCACAACCTATTTAACCTTGGACAGGCCAGCCTCTAGAACCCCGAATGGAATACATTCTTCACCCCTTGTGAGTCGCCCAGGGTGCGGCATGTTCTAGTAAAGAGAGACGGCCGACAGATGTGATTAAGCTCTTTTCCTCACCTCTCATTCTTGCTGCCTACAGTCAAGGTATATATATATATATTTTTGCTTGAAGACCCATGACCTTTGAGGCACTGTTAGGTTTAAAATCATGAATGGATAGGCAAGCATGCATTTGCTTGATGTATGCAGATAACCCCTGCACAGGCCTGACCATCGGAAGATTGGGGGGGAAGTCATGAGGAGGCCATGGGCAGTCCTGGAAATTAAGATGCTTTTAGAATTGACCGGCCTCAGCACTCACGTCACACCTGTGTCTTCAAGCAAGCTACCTTCCGTAAAACAAGCCCTTGAATTGTGCTTGGGGTTTCTTTGCCTGGGCACAGGGGACTTAGGGCATCAAGCAGAATAAATGTGTGTGTACACAGCCCTTAAGCGATAGATCCGAATAATTGTGCCTATGATTTTGACTCTAGGAGTGTGAACCAAGGCTAGAATGTGGTAAGAGAAAGAGACTCAGAGGAATATTTTAATTTCAGAAAACAAGCCTCCCCACCCAAGGAATTGCCCCCACAAATTCATTTAAAAACCACTGAATCTCTTCCAAATGAAAAAAGTATCTCATATTTCTTAATGCCTGTTCATCATTAAAATTATGGCAATTATTGCACTGCTTTTGGCTGATAAATATTCAGAGGACAAGTGGAGGCCATGAGACAGATTAATTCTCCAGAAGTACAAACAAAAAACTTTCAGTGTTTTATATCACATAATTAAATGCGGTTTCTAGAGCCAGAACTTGGGACTTGCTAATTAGTTGCCTTGAGAAGAAAGATGTTCAGACGTGTTTTGTGCTTGACGTTCAGAACCAGAGTCTTTCTAAGCCCTGCATGGCACTGCTGATGGAGAACGCTTGCAGAATGAGCCCTACCTGCAGAAGTCGGGGGGCACCATGCCGTAAACATTGATCCTGTCGCAGAGCTCCAGAGCAATTGTCATGGTGAACCAGCCAGTGCTCAGCCATGTGTTGGAGATCTTCCTGGAAGGAACAACAGTGAAGTCTGCACTCTGGTAAAGCAGTCCCAGGTCCACAAGCATGCAGGACCTTTCTGGAGTAAGGCTGGCTATAAAAGATACCCCAACCCTAACACACACACACACACACACACTCACACACTCATGCACATACATATATGCACGCACACTCACATGCTCATGCACACACACATGCACACACTTTCATTTCCTCCCATTTGATAAACATCTGGAAGTTTGCTAAACTGAAATATCTAATAGTACAGTCATAACCAATGTTGATGCTTGAGGGATTTCTACACCATCAAAGATAATGATCATTGCTTGAATGTTTAGGTGTCATCAATTGTAAGATGACAATATCCATGCGACAATTGGTTGTCAGCTGGAGTACTTGACTAGACACCCTCCCTGTGCCCCTAAACAAGCTAGATAATTAGCAACATAAGCGTGAATAAGCATAAAATCCTGCTATCTCTCTTTCTGTCAATCCAGTCAATTGTCTATCTTCTATATAAGCATGATTCTAACACTCATCTCTTACTAATACTTACCACAATCATTTATTACTATTATAACATCAACCTATCATTCTTCCATCTGTCATAATGGTTTATCACTTACCTATCGCTCAATCTAACACATCTCTCCACCCATCTACCCATTTACCAAGTGTGTGTATATGTATATGTATATATGTATATGTCCACCCACCCATTTACCAAGCATGTATATATGTATATGTCCACCCATCCACCATTTATCAAGCATGTATATATGCATATGTATATGTCCACCCACCATTTATCAAGCATGTACATATGTATATGTCCACCTACCCACCATTTACCAAGCATGTACATATGTATATGTCCACCCACCCACCATTTACCAAGCATGTACATATGTATATGTCCACCTACCCACCATTTATCAAGCATGTACATATGTATATGTCCACCCACCCACCATTTATCAAGCATGTATATATAATGTATATGTCCACACAACCACCCATCCATAAGAGGCTGTCCCCAGGCACCATTAAGAGCACTTGTGACTCAATGTCTTGTCTTAGGAGGGACTCATGCATTGGGGAAGGGCGGAGGAAGAGAGCCAGGGGGACGTTTACATGTGATAGAGCATCTACTTTTACTTTACCTAAGGGCACCCAGGGCTTTCTGAAAATGTCTAAGTCCCAAACCATCTATTCAGACGTCTGAGTGGAGACATAACCACATGCCCCCCTAAGCAGGCCGGTGGAGACACAGCGCCAAGGTCTCGTTTGAGTCCTGAGCGGGACACACTGGTCTCCACGCTACACTGCTGTGGATGCTCATTTCAGTTCTTGGGGGATTGCCACCCTCTCTCTTTCCAGTGCCAATGCACGCCTCATTAGCCAGCTCCAAACACCTTGTCCCCAAGGTCACACTGGCTGACTTTGCCCGGCCACACGGCTGTGTGTGAGGTGAGCAGCACAGTCGCATAAGGATCTTTCTAGATGCGCTGTAGAGCTCCACGCGTGGAGAAGGAAGATGGTTAGACAGTTTGCTCTATTTCCCTTCATGCAGGGACGGGAAAATACTGGAAAATAAGGAGGGTTTTAGCTTGTAAAGTGCCTGACAGACATGGGTGGGTTACAGTTTCAATTTCAAGTTCTTAGGCCTTAAGACATGGGTGGGTTACAGTTTCAATTGCGAGTTCTTCAACCTTGAGCATGTTTTCCCGCCAAGCTACTGCTTCCTGCTCGAGCTTGTTAAAGCCCCTACAGATGAGGGTAATGTGAACTCGACCGTCTCCTGCTTCTGTCACACGCAGCTGGATGACCTGAGGCATTGCAGCCACGATCTGAGCTTTGGTGTCTTATCTACAAAGCAGGTGTGGGGTGCTCCCTCCTCTGGCCATTTGAGAACTAAATTAGAAAATGTCCACAAGAGGGTCCAAGTGGGGTGTGCCGACACACACGGAGACCCCTCTCTTCTTTCCTGGCTTCCGGGGGGAGCAAACAAAGAGCAGAGCTCAGCATTCCTTCAGTGCCCTTCTGACCCTCCGCCGGGTACCCCCGGGGCTGATGGAGGAGGCACATGGGAAGCCCGGGCGCCCGACCTAAAGAGAAGATGCTTTCTGCTGTTTGTGGGCGTGAATACACCCACTTCCCTCTCACCAGGGTGTGCATCCGTGAGGCTTTGGGGATGAAGGTATTGGGAAGGAGAAGCGGAAGAGGAAGAGGGGAAGAAACGCCTTTGTTCACATCCCGGCCGTGTCAACGTGCAGGGCCGCTCTTCCTGGGCCAGTCCGAGGGGGCTGCCCACCAGGAAACGTGGGTCCCAGGCAAAGAACGGCCCTCACTCACATCCCATAGACCTCTGAGAGGTCGGGACCAAATGATCGCTATCACGCCTCCTGCTTTCACATCCCAGGAAGCAAACACCAACCAGGGATTTCCCCCCTGGGGGTGCAGAAGCCCCCCTGGAAGTTTTCCTGCGATGCGGGATAGAGCATAAAGCCACAGCAGCCGCAAACACGGGGGCTGCAGGACGCGGGGAGAAGCCAGAGCGGAGGAGCCCGAGCGAGGCCTTCTCTTCAGTGCCTGCCACTTAAGATTCCCCAGACTTGCTGAATAACAGCGTGGGAGCACGTGCCGGAGACACGCAACTGCTTTCTACTGTCTCCCAGAAAGGATCTGAACTTTTCTTTTTTTTTCCCTCTCCAACAAAGGAATATCTACTGTTTTTACAGTTAATCAGCTGTAATGAAAGAATATGAAGAGCTGTCATGTGCTTATTAGCGAAAATTAGCAGATATTCTTTTATATGATGAAGTAACACACTGAGCTGATAATGCTATAGTGCACTCTAAATTACAATTAAAGGCCTTTCTGCTCCACCGGAATCTCATTTATAATCTCAACGGAAATATTCCTCCTGCAGTTATTTCATTTATGCTTCCTTTATGTAATTACTATAATATTGGTTCTGAATCATATTTTCCTAATGTGCCCTTATTCAATTATAAAGTTATTTTCAAGTGTAGTTACTTTCTAATATCAAAGGACATGATTCGGCCATCTCTGTCATCTGCCGCGCTTCTTAATTGCAGATTGCTCATGAGTCATTTTCATAGCCATTTCTAAGGGTGAAATTCCCTATAAATCAAAATCTACTGGCTTGGCCCATTTCTTAGAAAAAAATATTAGTCTGAACTGACGTCCCAGTGATGAGTTTGGTTTGGTTGGAAACTAGACCATGTGTCTTCAACATATGCTCCTGCTTTGCTGGGTTCCTCAGCCTACACAGAAAGAATGGTTCCATCCCAAACGTTCTGAGTTTTGTTGAAAGGAAATCTATTCTGGAAGGGTTTTCTCTGTCTCTCAGCTTAAGAATGAGGACTTATAGGAACAGTGAGTCAATAAAATGCTCTTTTAAAGACAGTCTCCTAAGGTTGGGACAATGCTCCTTCGGAAGGATTGGTGCACTTTGGCGTGCTATGAGGTCGTAGGTGAGACTCCTCGAGCAGGCGCAGCTGAGTGATGTTGAGGTCTATCTGCAGAAAGTTGCCACAGAGCTCGCTGTGTGGGTGTTCCCTGGCCAGGCTTTAGGAAGGGTAGGACATGTTTCTTATGAATCTCAAGTGACCAAAGGGTAGGGTAATACAGTTTCCAGGCTACCCAAATCATGTGACACCTTACGGGGACCAGCCGTGTGCAGTGATCTTCATGAATCCCGCATCAGGGTTTTTAGAAAGACTTACATTTAATGAACAACCATTAAAAAAAGAGAGAGAGGATGTGTTGTCTATGGGAGAGACAGTTTAAACTTAATGTGAAATTTCTAAGCAGCAACATTTAATTGTAAAGTTCACTGCTTGTCCACTCTTTATAAAACGTATTCTTGGTTAAAGAACTTTTTAACATGCAAGGCTGTCTCTCCTGTTGCTGGGTCACAGGGCTGATTACAATGGGAATTTGTATGAGCTTCTAACTTTTATCAGGCGCATCAGGGTGACCCATATATTAGGTTAGACACAGGTCTGGACTTTGCTAGTTGTGGGGCTGCTGGGCTAGCCTTAGGTCTGTTAGCTAGTCACAGGTCTGGACTTTGCTAGTTGTGGGGCTGCTGGGCTAGCCTTGGGTCTATTAGCTAGTCACAGGTCTGGACTTTGCTAGTTGTGGGGCTACTGGGCTAGCCTTGGGTCTGTTAGCTAGTCACAGGTCTGGACTTTGCTAGCCCGGGACCTAAGGGACTGCTCACAGGTGTGCTCAGCTAACTGCGACTCTCCTGGTCAAGCTGTAGATCTGTTGAGCCAGCCATGGGTCTCGGCTGTGGCAGCCACAGGTCTGCTGTGTCTTGCCAGGAAAGAGGCTGCAGTGTGGACAGCACCAATGCTCTCTCCTCCGGGCCCCTACTGTGAGGTCCAGCCCTCAAACGGCCACAGCATCCCCAAGGTTTAAAAGCAGAGCTCTTTTGTCCAAAGAATCTGGGGATAGTGGATTTGTTTTCCAATCATGTGTCTCTAAGCTAGCCAAACAGTGGGTTCTCCTTGATCTTCACTTTTCTTAACATATCGCTTTAGATTTAAGAACTGACCAAATAACAGTTTTTATAAGAAGGGTACTAGGCCACTAAGTGTACATTAACTATAATAGTATGTATGTTTTAGAACTAGAAAAACCCCAGAGAAATTAATTACTAGTCCAGTCTGAAGAGTGGGTAGTCACTGTCCTTTCTTTTCTGGGAAATGAGGTCGCCAGGTTTCCAGGAGGTAGGCAGCTGAAGTTCCACCCAGAGCTGGGTGCCGCTACCCTTTGAGGCCTCCCCGAGTGCCCTGCATCCTGCGTTCCGCCCCCCTCTAGACCCGTGCAGCTCCTGACCCTTTCCCCTTGACCTTATCTTGTACCACGGCCCTGAATGCGTCCTTGGGGGAGCCTTTTCCACAATTCCCCTGCACCTTCTCTCCCTGGTCCCTTGGTCTCCCGGGGAGAGGTTCTCTTCATGCTCAGCTCTTTCCATACTTGTAGAAACACTGTCTTTGGCCTCGGCCTGAAGCATCATTTTGAGAAAGACTTTTGATTATCTTGACCACTGATTTGTCAAAACTCTGCAGCTTACAGTGAGAAATACATTTGACACCAGGACTGTAAGTGCATTCGGATGTGGGTATATATGTGATTGATCGTGATTTTGCTTTTAAGGTGAGCAACTTCATTGATTTTAGTGTATTCACAGATACAATGATCGCCGCTAAAATGAGAACATTTTCATATCTAAAAAAACCACTACCGATCATCTATCTGACACATACGTGCAATTCTCCTCCTCCTCCTCACCATCGCCGCCATCATCATCATCATGGGCTATCTGTAGTAAGTTTTGACTTGGTGCCCACTTGGCAGATGACAACCATCTGTATATAACAGGGTGTGATGCCCTCTTCTAGTATGCAGGCATACATGCAGATAGAACATTCATATAGAAAGTATGTACACAAATACACAGTTTAAAATGTTTACTTTGTGTGCATATATGTTTCATCTACATGTATGTGCACATACCATGTGTACACCTGGTGCCCAAAGAGGCAGAAAAAAGTCTTAGATTCCCTTGGACTGGAGTAAGAGGTGATTTTAAGGCACCATGTAAGTGCCAGGAACTGAACTCAGGTCCTCTGCAAGAGCAGGCAGTGCTCTGACCACTGAGCCATCTCCCCGGCTCCTATTATCTAGTCTTAATGAGCATGTTGGAAAACATTGCCCTGGACCATGGTTTGTCTCCTGCCATACAAGTATTTTGTTTCCTAGCATCTCTAGAGGCAGATGCAGGATGCAGTGTTGAGCAAGTAGAAGGTTTTCAGTAACAGTTGACTGTGTGGCCTTGTATCTTTGAAAGAGAAAAATAATCTCTCTATCTGTCTGTCTCTCTGTCTGTCTCTGTGTGTGTGTCTCTGTGTGTGTATATATGTGTGTCTGTGTGTGTGAATGTGTGTGTGTCTGTGTGTGTGAATGTGTGTGTCTCTGTATGTATGTGTGTGTCTGTGTGTGTATATATATGTGTGTGTGAATGTGTGTGTGAATGTGAGTGTATATGTGTGTGTGTGTCTCTGTGTGTGCCTCTGTATGTATGTGTGTGTGTGAATGTGTGTGTGAATATGTGTGTATATGTGTGTGTCTGTGTACCTCTGTATGTGTGGGTGTATATACATGTGTGTGTGTGAATGTGTGTGTGTCTCTGTATGTATGTGTGTGTGTCTGTGTGTGTGAATGTGTGTGTCTGTGTATGTATATATATGTGTGTGTGTCTGTGTGTGTGTCTGTGTGTGTGAATGTGTGTGTCTGTGTGTGTGCCTCTGTATGTATGTGTGTGTATGTGTGTGTGTGTGTGTGTGTGTGTGAGTGTGGGGACTTGTGAATGTTTGTCAATTCCAGAGGGCAGCCCATCGTTCTTCAGGCGCTGACCACTTTGTCTCGTGAGACGTTGCTTCTCCTCGGTCTGGAACTCATCAAGTAGGCTAGGGTTGCCAGCCCCAGGCATTCCCCCGTCTCCCATCACTGGGGATCTGAGCACGCACCGCCGCGCCCCCCACCCCTACCTCTTGGGAACTGGGGATCAAACTCAGGCCCTGGTCGGAGAGCAGCAAGCACTTTGGAAGCTGAGCATCTCCCCACACTTGTCTCTCCCATCAATGCAGCTAGCGTGCCCCACTTTCCCAGCCACCACTTAGCCTTTTTTCTAAATAAGGACTTGGTCACTGTGCATCACGTCACTGCCTGATACACTCAACTTCAACAGTCTGTTACCAGGGCAACCAAACACGTGAGGTCCATTGAGGCGACGTCGTGAGCTATGGGTCTCACAACACAGACCCTCATCCAAAACGCTTTGCTTTTACGGAGTCTGTCCCCAACACGCGTTCTCACCGCCCCCGCCTCCCTGCGCCCCGTTACCTGTCTTTGCCCGTCTCCTGCTTGAAGAGCTCATCAAACTGCAGCATCTTGTGGCGCGTGATCATGAAGGCCTTCAGCCGGGGCAGCACCTGGCTGAGGAGCTGCAGGTTGTTGTACACCTGGCCCTTGCCGTCCCGCCGCATGTAGCTGCTGGGGCCCCAGAAGATGAACACGGTGCCCTGGCTCACATTGAGCAGGTCGTGGCGGTTGCGGAGGATCCTCTGGATGCTGGAATGCGCGATGACCCGCAGGCTCGTGCGGTTGCCCACATCAGGCCCGTAGCCTCGGGTGGGGGCGTCGTTCATGCGGATAACACACTCCGTCTGGTCGATCTGGGGGCCCTGCTGACTCCGCAGCAGATGCCCTGAGCTCGTCACCAGGGCGCAGTCCTTGCAATGCATTTTCAGGGGCTGCAAGACAGAGGGGAAAGACGGTGTCAGGCGGAGGAGTCCCCCGCCTTGGCACCGCCAGGTCACATCCTGTCTTCCCGTACAGTCTCCTCCCTTCTTTTATACACCACACTCCTACCTCTGCCTCACGCCAGATCATATCCTTGCACTGTCTTCTCGACTGCGGACAGAGGCACCTAGGCTAGGCAGAGAGCTGGCGTTGACCTGTCTGTCACTGGCTGGGAGCTTAGATCCCTGTGCGAACATGTGACCCAGCAAGATGGTCACTGTTGTTAGGCTCCTTTGGCTTCGAGGTGGGAAGAAGCCACACTCTCAGAACTAGGTCCTTCCAAGCCAAAGCAAAGTGTCTTCTGCGCATTGCTGTGACTTGGGTTTGGCGCCCTTAGCCATCTGGTTGAAAAAGCTAAGCGGTTATTAGGTGAGGCTCCCCTGGATGCCGGGAAGCATGTCGACCCTCAGTAAAACACCAAGAATCACACCAGCAAAATGACATGCAGATTCAGTGCTGCGGTCCCGTGATGAGGAACGGACTATTTTTTTTTTCTTATTTTAAGGATTCCGAGGCCAGCGAGTCTGCACAGTCAGTTTCAGCGGAGCTAGGGCCACAGTGAACCTGTCTCTCCAAAAACATTTATCACTTGACATGGAGCACGTTGCCGGCACCCGGGAAATCGGGGCCAAGCACTTGGAGCTCATGGCTGACACCTGGGCTTTGGAAATCATAGATTCGAGCGCGGGAAGTTATCAGACACATGCGACATTTGGTTGCTCTTAGGTGACAGTAACTCGATGAGATGGCTGTCCCTGTCAGCTTGGCACTTCTGGGAAGAAGGAAACTGGGGTATTTCCTCCACAGACGGGCTGTAGGGCATGTCTGGGGGGCATTTTCTCGGTTGCGAATTGATGGAGGGGAGATCACCCCACAGTGGACGGTGCCACTCCTGGGCGTGGTCCTGGGTTGTCTCAGGAAGCCATTGAGCAGAGAAGTCAGTGATCATGCATGGTTCCTCTGTGGTAATTTATTCGTTTGGTTCCTGCCTCTGTGTTTTTGCCCTCAGATCCTGCCCTGGCTTTGCTACATAACCTGTAAGGCAAGCGAAACCTTTCCAAGTTGGTTTAAATTTGTTGTTGTTGTTGTTTGAGATTATACTTTACCTTCTCTTTCCTCCCTTAAACCTTCCCATATAGTCCTCCTGGCTCTCTTTCAAATTCATGGCCGAGAGAGAGAGAGAGAGAGAGAGAGAGAGAGAGAGAGAGAGAGAGAGAGAGAGAGAGAGAGAAAGAGAATCCCTAGGTAAATACAATGTCCATATAATGTTACCTGTATGTGTGTCTGTATGTGTTTTAACATAGAAAAAACAAAAAGTAGGCTAGAGCATGCAGTTAGACAGCCAGGCAAAAAAGAGGGAGACAGAGTCCGCTCCCAGCCTTGAACTTTGGCGAGGCACTGTGCCTGAAGAGATGTGGTGGTGTTTATGGAGGAGGTCTGGGCTGGAATCTGGTTGCTGCTGGGGATTAATTAGGCCGCTTCCAGGCTGGAAGTATAAAAACGGGTGGTCCAGGAGCTGATATTTATTATTGAGTGCCGTGCACGAGGCAGGGGCCTCTCTAAGCTTATTATGAAACCATGCTTGTCTTTCAAATAACACTAGTTATTGCTGCTACTACTTTACAAATTAGAAGTTTGGAGGATTAAAAAAAGTGTAATTTGTTTAAGATCACGCAGTCAAGAGAGAGAGGGGCAGGCTAGGCAGATGAGGTATCTGGCTCTAGAACCAACGGGATTAACTAACCATTAGGCTAACACAGTGCAGTGGAGTGACCAGAGTGTTGGGGACTACGTCATTCATAGGCTCCCTCCCACACACCCGGGAAGATGTTTCTTAGTTGTGTGTGTGCCAACTCTGAGGACTCTGATCTGGGCAGATGCCGTAAGGTAACGAGTTTTCCAGCCAGCACCCCAGTTCCGATGAGGAGCGTTCAGAGCAGAACTCAGTCGTTACGACCCCGAGTCCAGCAGGGCAAACATAAGGTCAAGACCTGAACTTCCTGAGGGAGAGCCACCCATTCACCCCACGCAATTTTGGGGATCTAGAGGAAGGAGACTGCCGGGTCCTCTGTGTAAACTTCTGGGGAGAATGTCCCACATTTTATGGTCACATTCTGAGTGTAAATTACTCAGGGTTCTCCATGGCTTACTCGATGACATCAGTGATGCAGTCACTAAGATGAGGCTGCAGCTTGCTCTCTGTCAACTGGGCCAATCAGGAAGCCGAGCCGGAACAGGAATAGCGCTGAGCATGCCCAGATATTGCTAAAATATTAAGCTACACGAAATAGGGACGTCCAAAGATATTTTACTAAGGGAGAAATCACTTATGTGAGAAGCCAAGAAAACCGAGAACCAAAGGTCCACATGCTGCTCTCCCGGTTGCAACCGGAACCCAAAAGAGAGCCAGTCTCCTCCCCCAAGCTCTTTTATCCCCTGTACATTCTACACATGCTTGTGGCCACGCCTCAAATGGGCGTGGCCAGCGCTGTGGGTGCCTAGATCTCTCCCTACAAAGTGGGGGCAGGGCTAGCTCATCTCTTCCAGCTAGACCCCCCCCCCAAGGCTTCCACAGGTTTCCAAGAGGGCACCAGCAGTTCAAACAGGCATCTTAGGGGTAGGGCATCCTACAATTCAGCCTTAACGCAGAGTCCTTTTATGTATCAGACCCTGAACTTGGCGCTGTAGATAAAACCATGATGAGACTCCCTCAAGGAGCTTGCAGTCCCGGGAGAGGATGGTCTCAGAAGGGACCCACAGCAAGGGAAGAACCACAGTAAGGGAGTCTTGCCCAAGGGCTTCTAGGACCCAAGAAAAGGGACGGTTGAGCTTGCAAGAAAAGCCAGAAAGGTGGGGTGGGGGGGCGCAGTATTGGAAAGCAACAGAAGAGATGGTTTAAGAAGGAGGAGGTCCCAGAGGTGGAAAGTGTTCTTTGCAGCTGGTGACTAGGACCAACACAGGTTTCCCGAACAAAGGGGGCAGCGGGCGCAGGGAAGCCGAGGCCGAAGACGGAGACTTGTAAGGGCTGATAAAGGGTTGACAGCAGAGAACAAGGCGCGCAGAATGGACCCCAGCGCTTGACCTGGGAAACCCCGCAGTCCTGGGAAAGCAAGTGTCCTTAGTCACAGTATAGCCACTCACGGGGAGGTCCTCGAAATGCCCTGTGGCAACCAGGAGCTTCTGCAGACAGTGGGCTGTTCAGATGGGGGGGTGTGGAGTGGGGGTCTGGGGACCGAGTCTGTGGCTGATCTCAGAAGCGTTCACTAACCTTCTAATCCTACATTTATTTTTAAAAGACAAAGGGATGAGCTAGACGGCTGCAGCCCAGTGGTGCGGATTCCTCCCCCTTTGCTCACCCTGACGCTTATCTGAAGACCTTTAATGAAATCTTCATACGCCCCGAGGAACCATATAACTCAGAACATTTTCTTCATTAGGTTACTTTATTGGTTTTTTACTTTTTATGTTTTTTATTAGCATGTATTAATCATACGCAATAGTGGGCTTCGTTATGAAATTTTCATACATGTATATAATGCATTTTTAATAATACCAACCCTGAATTAGCTACTTTTGTCCCCTTTTCACTGACTCTTTACTCTTCCTAACCTTTGTACGTGTGTGTGTGTGTGTGAGAGAGAGAGAGACAGAGAGAGAGACAGAGAGAGAGAGACAGAGAGAGAGAGAGAGAGAGAGAGAGAGAGAGAGAGAGAGAGAGAGAGAGAGAGAGAGAGGATGAGAATGACTTTCTTCAGGGTTGCCTACAGGAGGGAAGTCTGGATCCTGCTTCAAGTGCCCATTGCTAAGGATGGCAGTAGGAGCAGCTCTGCTCTTCTGCACATGACATCACACTTCCGGCAGCTGAGAGGACAGTGGATGGAAGGCAGGACCGCTTCCAAGCATTCTTCCCCGTAAGCTGCATTCTTCCACATCTCAGCACCATTCAAGTCCTAGCGTCTTACTGAGCTGGGCGGGGCCAGTCAGTCACAGGTGGTGAGTTGGCTCCCACCCATCGGGTGACTCCAACGTTGGCTGTCTCCTGTTCCGGTCTATGAAAAGCAACTAATGGGTCTGGGAATGCAGCACAGAAGCGACTGTCCAGCACACACACGGCCTGGGTGAGACCCTCAGCACCACGTGAGACCCTCGGTGCGGGGGGGGTGCACGCCAGGAACTCATCGCTTGGGTTGTAGAGGCAGCAGGACCACGGCTAGAGTTCAGGGCACTGCCCACAGTTAACGGCTGGCTGGAATAAAGTCCCAGGACATTAGGTCCAGCCAGTTATTAATCCCCAGTGAGAGCCTGGTGCCAAGGTCGATAGAGCTGGAAAATGCCCAGGAAAAGCCACAGAGGGAGGCCTGGATGCAGACCGCCTCTCCACCAACCCACACAAGGGCAAGCAAGGGGCCCCGGAGCTTGTGGGAGGGAGGCGGGCCGCAGGCTGTCCAGGAGAACATGCATGTGAACGTGGAACAGGAGAACACGTGTGTGTACATACACATGGGACAGTACATACAAGTAGAACAGGAGAACACACGTGTGAACATACATGTGGACCAGGAGAATGCGTATGTACATACACATGAAACAGGGGAACATGAACATGTACATACACATGAAACCAGGGAGAATGCATGTGTACATACAGATGAAACAGGGGAGCATGCATGTGTACATACAGATGAACCGGGAGCATGCATGTGTACATACAGATGAACCGGGAGCATGCATGTATACATACAGATGAACCGGGAGCATGCATGTGTACATACAGATGAAACAGGGGAGCATGCATGTGTACATACAGATGAAAGGGAGCATGCATGTGTACATAAAGATGAAACAGGGGAGCATGCATGTGTACATACAGATGAAACGGGAGCATGCATGTGTACATACCGATGAAACGGGAGCATGCATGTGTACATACATGTGGGCTCTAATTTTACTG